ACACAGGGGTCAGTTGGGGGGAATAAGGGAGGGACAGCAGGGGGTGGGGAGTTGGGGACAGATAGCATGGGGAGAAATGCCAGATATAGGTGAAGGGGAGGAAGGCAGCAAATCACACTGCCACGTATGTACCTATACAACTATCTTTCATGTTCTTCACATGTACCCCAAAACCTAAAATGAAATAAAAAATGAATTAATTAAAAGTAAAATTAAAAAAAAAACCTGGAAGCATTCCCTTTGAAATCTGGAACTAGACAAGTATGCCCTCTGTCACCACTCCTATTCAATATAGTATTGGAAGTTCTAGCCAGAGCAATTAGGGAAGAAAAAAACATAAAGGGTATTCAATTAGGAAAAGAGGAAGTCAAATTGTCTCTATTTGCAGGTGACGTGATTGTGTATTTAGAAGACGCTATCACCTATCAGCCAAAAATCTCCTTCAATTGATAAGCAACTTCAGCAAAGTCTCAGGATACAAAATCAACGTGCAGAAATCACAAGCATTTCTATACACCAATAACAGACTAACTGCGAGCCAAATCATGAGCAAACTCCTATTCACAATTGCTACCAAGAGAATAAAATACCTAAGAATACAACTAACAAAGGATGTAAAGGACCTCTTCAAGGGAACTACAAACCACTGCTCAAGGACATAAGAGAGGACACAAACAAATGGAAAAACATTCCATGCTTATGGGTAGGAAGAATCAATATCGTGAAAATGGCCATACTGCCCAAAGTAATCTACAGATTCAACACTATCCCCCTCAAGCTACCAATTACCTTCTTCACAGAATTGGAAAAAACCACCTGGAATCAAATGAGAGCCTGCATAGCCAAGACAATTCTAAGCAAAAAGAACAAAGCCAGAGGCATCATGCTACCTGATTTCAAACTATACTACAAAGCTACCACAATCAAAACAGCCTGGTACTGGTACCAAAACAGAGATATAGACCAATGGAACAGAACAGAGGCCTTGGAGGCAACACTGCACATCTACAACCATCTCATCTTTGACAAACCTGACAAAAACAAGCAATGGGGAAAGGATTCCCTGTTTAATAAATGGTGCTGGGAAAACTGGCTAGCGGTGTGCAGAAAGCAGAAACTGGACCCCTTCCTGATACGTTACACTAAAATTAACTCCAGATGGATTAAGGACTTATGTATAAGACCTAATACCATAAAAAAAGAAAACCTAGGCAAAACCATTCAGGACACAGGCATAGGCAAGGACTTCATGACTAAAACAGCAAAAGCACTAGCAACAAAAGCCAAAATAGACAAATGGAACCTAATTAAATCCCAGAGCTTCTGTACAGCAAAAGAAACAATCATTAGAGTGAACCAGCAACCAACAGAATGGGAAAAAAATTTTGCAAGCTACCCATCTGACAAGGGCTAATATCCAGAATCTACAAAGAACTAAAACAGATTTAGAAGAAAAAACAAACAAACCCATCCAAAAGTGGGAGAAGGATATGAACAGACACTTTTCAAAAGAAGACATATGTGAGGCCAACAAACATATGAAAAAATGCTCATCATCACTGATTTTTAGAGAAATGCAAATCAAAACCACATTGAGATACCATCTCACACAAGTTACAATGGTGATCATTACAAAATCTGGAGACAGAGACTGGAGAGGGTGTGGAGAAATAGAAACACTTTTACACTGTTGGTGGGTGTGTAAATTAGTTCAGCCATAGTGGAAGACAGTGTGGTGCTTCCTCAAGGACATAGAAATAGCAATTCTATTTGACCCAGCAATCCCATTACTGCATATATACCCAAAGGATTATAAATCATTCTATTATAAAGATACATGCATACATACGTTCATAGCGACACTGTTTACAATAGCAGAGACCTAGAATCAACCCAAATGCCCATTGAAGATAGACTGGACAAGGAAAATGTGCACATATACACCATGGAATACTATGCAGCCATAAAAAATGATGAGTTCATGTCCTCTGTAGGGACACAGATGAATCTGAAAACCATCATTCTCAGCAAACTGAAACAAGAACAGGAAATCAAACACCTTATGTTCTCACTCATAGGTGGATGTTGAACAATGAGAACACATGGACACAGGCAGGGGAGCATCACACACTGGGGTCTGCTGGGGGGACCAAGGGAGGGAAAGTGAGGGGTGGGGCGGGGATCGGAGAACATGGGGAGAAATGCCAGATGTAGGTGATGGGGGGATGGAGGCAGCAAACCACATTGCCATGTGTGTACCTATGCAACAATCCTAAATGATCTGTACATGTACCCAAGAACCTAAAGTACAATAAAAAAGGAAAGAAAGAAGAAGAGCTTTACTTGTTCTTTCCTTTATTTATTCAAGAATTTAATATTTATGTATATCATTGGAGAGTCATGCATATTTCTTTTATTCTATGGGTTTTAATTTGTTATTTTTTATTTATTTTGTTGCTCAAATTGTTTGTGGACATTTGAAATCCTTGCTAGACACTTTCTAGAAGGCTATTATTAATTTATACTCACACCAGCAGCAAAAGAGAATGTTTATTTCCTGTAACTGTTGCTAACACTGGGATTATCAGCTTCTTTTTTCCCTCCCAACATAATAGGCCAAAAACACGTAGATATGCACACTGATAATCCCGTATAATCTATTTTCAGGTAGAACTTTTTTGTATATTCATTGGCCGTATTTTATTCTATGATATGTTTGTTAATATACTTTGCCCGTTTTTCTATTGTTATTTGTATATTTTGGATTTGTTAGCAATATCTGAGTATCAATAATAGTCCTTTGCATTTTAAATGTGTTAGAGATTTTGTTTCAGAACCTATTGTTTGTCTTTTAACTGTTTATGTTATTCTTTATCATACAGAAATGAAAATTTTTTATTTAATCAGATGTAAGGAGAATTTCTGTTTATGGCTCCTTTTATACCTTTTTCTTTATGCCTTTGTTTTTTCTTTGAAATATGTGTAATCATCTTGGAGTTTGTTTTAATATGTGGTATGAGGCAGGACTTCTTTTTTTTTGAGACGGAGTTTCACTCTTTTTGCCCAGGCTGGAGTGCAATGGCAAGATCTAGGCTCACTGTAACTTCCGTCTCCCGGGTTCAAGCAATTCTCCTGCCTCAGCCTCCCAAGTAGCTGGGATTACAGGCATGCACCACCACACCCAGCTAATTTTGTATTTTCAGTAGAGGTGGGGTTTCACCATGTTAGTAAGGCTGGTTTTGAACTCCTGACCTCAGGTGATCCACCCACCTCGGCCTCCCAAGGTTGCTGGGATTACAGGTGTGAGCCACTGTGCCTGGCAAGTACTTCTTGTATCTCTAATTATGCTGCTGCTATAAAATGTCACCACCTGTGTCATAACCTAAGTTCTCGTATTTGTGTATATAAGTGTACATATTTCTCGTTTTGAATACCGTTTTGTTTCCTTTTTTAAAAATCCCATGCCACTAGTATTTTATTATATACGTATAAGCTTTCTAAATTATAGGATTTATGATTTTTTAAAAAATTCTTTCTCTTCCCCCTTTTCTAGACATTGTTTTTCTATTGTTTTAGCTTTCCTGAAAATCAGCTCTTGCTTCATTTTTGTTTCACCTTAATTTTTTCCTTTTCGTAATATATTTCATCTACCTTCTTATGTGAGCAATTTTGTTGTTATTTTTTCATCTTAAATTGTGTGGCCCTGGTGTTTATGAATTCTTTTCTTAATGGAAGTATTTAAAAGTATGACATTTTTATTTTGGCCAAATTTCATAGATTCTATTTCTTTTAAATATGTTTTCTTTTTAGCTCAATAGTTTAGCTGTTTTTTGTTTGTTTGTGGGTCTCACTGTGTTGCCCAGGCTGGAGTGCAGTGGTGTGATTATAGCTCATGTAGTCTCAAACTCCTGGGCTCAAGTGACCCTCCTGCTTCAGCCTCTCGAGTATCTGGGACTACTCTTGAGTGTCTGGTGAAACCTGGTCTCTAGTAAATATACAAAAAGAAATTAGGCAGGTGCAGTGGCGGGTGCCTGTAATCCCAGTTACTTAGGAGACTGAGGTAGGAAGAATTGCTTGAACCTGGGAGGTGAAGGTTGCAGTGAACTGAGATCGTGCCACTGTACTCCAGCCTGGGTGACAGAGCAAGACTCTGTCTCAAAAGAAAAAAAACCTGGAAATTTACACTGACCCCAGGATAGGATTCTATCTTCCCACCAGCTAAGAAACCATCTTGTTTTCCTGTAAGTATTCCTCATTAAAATATTTTTGCCATTTCTAAGGTACACGTTAGTGATCTGCAAAACAGAGAAGTTTATTCCTTTTTCTACTAACTGGTATACCTCTCAGCTAATTCTGCAGAGATGTGCTAATAATCTATTTTTACCTTATCTTGTACAGCTAGAGCTACAAACTTACTATAGTATTTAATCTGATTTTCTACCAATGTTTTTCTTTAACATAGGGCATTAACTCCTAAATGTTATCAAAATAATTATTTTTATTAAAAACAACTAAAATTGATACAATAATAGCTAACAAGATACAGTCAGATTATTTAAAAAGGCAATTTCTTTTGATATCCCTTTTACTCAGAATTAGCAAAAGTTTTTATTAATGTGGAATTGACTCAGTTTTGACTTGATGTCCTTATTCTGCTATCGTCACCAGCTTTTGTTACTAATCTTTTAAAAACTATTTCTTCTTCCTTTTCCCCCTGCTTAGTCCTATAACATACTTACAAAACATCTTAATGATATATAATTATTTATTAGGCTAAGACTTTTACTTAGAGAAAAAAAACATAGTGTAGTCCCTATTTTCTGTAGTGAAATTTCTTACTTAAGCTAAGAAAAATTTAACATTGCAAATGAAAGTTACTAAAATTTCACTTGATATTCCTTGACTCAAAGATTCACTTTAAAGTATTGATGGGACATGAACACAAACACCTACTGTAATATGTACTTATGTATAAGTATTATTCCAATCAGCTACTTTACCTGTTCTCTTGACAATGATATGGATGGTGCTGCAGTACATCTTGTAAGAAACGTTCCATCAAACTACTGGTACATATTTGACGTCTACTCTGTCTGGTCAGACTCCTGTGCTGAGCACTGAACAAATGCTATAAAGAAAAAAGAAATGGAATATTTTCAAATGGGTAGTACTCAATAGTGAGGGCTTGACAAAATGGATTCACTTATACACTCCTGGTAAAATTATGAACTGATATCTTTTCTATAAAGCAATTCTGAAATTTGCATCTAAAAACCATAAAACTACTTTACTTTCCCTTAGGTAAAATAATGAGATTTTTAAAAAATATAACCTAAGGAAATAGTCTTAAAAGTAAATGATTCATGCAAAAAGATGCTGCTATCATAGTATAACCAAAAACTGGAAACCTCGTTAAGTTTCTAACAGTAAAATACTTCAATTATAATAGGCTCTAAGACATAATACTATACAGCTATCTAAAATAATACAAAGAATTTTAACAACATGGAGAAATGTTACATATTAAGAAAAAATGAGGGATGCAAAAGTCACATGTATGGTTTCATCTGAAACTACAGTTTAAAAACATACAGACAAGTAAATGGAAGAAATTACAGTAGTCCCCTATTATCCGCAGGGGATTTGTTCCAAGACCCCCAGTGGATCCCTTAAATGGTGGATAGTACCAAACCTATATACTACGTTTTTCCTTATGTACCTATGATAAAGATTAATTTATAAACTAGGCACAGTAAGAGATTAACGACAATAACTGATAATGAAATAAAACAATTATAACAATATACTGCAATAAAAGTAACATAAGGGTTACGAGAATACAAGCACTGTGATAGCCAACAGTCGCAAGAGTCGATCTAATAACCAAGACAGCTACTGAGTGACTAGCGGGCAGGTGGTATGTACAGCAGGAATATGCTGGACAAACGGATGATTCATTTCCTGAGTGGGACAATGAGTGACAGCAAAGTATTTCATCACGATACTCAGAATGACGTGCAATTTACTTGCCCATTTATTTCTGAAATTTTCCATTTAATATTTTTAAGCCACGTTTGGCTGTGGGTAACTGAAACCAACCACAGATAAGGGGGGACTACTGTATGCCAAACCTTACTAATATTGACATCAGCATGGTACAGTTATAGGTAGTTTTCAATTTTTCTTATAAATTTGTATATTTTTCAATGAGTAGATCTTTTTAAAAATAAAAATCTGTTAAGAGAGAGAACAGGGTTGGATTATTGTATTAAAAGAGGTCAAAGATCAACTGACAGAAAATGCCCCTTTATTTTCTTTCCGAGATTAAAAATCCTAACTTAAACAGAAAATTAAAATAAACACACTAAATTTTTCAGTTTTGTAATTCTCTCCAAAGTTAGAAAGATTTTTCCTTTGCTAATATTACTTAGTAGACTAGCAAGGAGAATGTGAAAAATTCTACCTACAGAGCACCTTGTACCAAACACAGTGCTATTCCATTTCCACAGTAATCTTCATTGACTTTTCATTGAGTAAGGATATTGTCCCCATTTAGCATGAAAAGACTAAGGCACAAAGAATTAGAGTAAACTGGGCTGGGCGCAGTGGCTCATACCTGTAATCCCAGCACTTTGGGAAGCTGAGGTGGGCAGATCACCTGAGGTCAGGAGTCTGAGACCAGCCTGGCCAACATGGCGAAACCCTGTCTCTACTAAAAAATATTAAAATATTACCTGGGCGTGGTGGTACATGCAGGTAGTCCTAGCTACTTGGGAGGCTGAGGCAGGAGAATTGCTTGAACCCTGGAGGCAGAGGTTGCAGTGAGCCGAGACTGCATCACTGCACTCCAACCTTGGTGACAGAGTGAGACTCTGTCTCCAAAAAAAAAAAAAACAGAAAGAAAAAGAAAAAAAAGAAATTAGAGTAAACTGCCCAAATTTTTATACTGAGCCAACAGCAAGGCCAGGAATTGAATCTAAAGCTTCTCTTTCATTGCATCATGTTAGCAAATGGCATAGTTCTAACACGTTATTTACAATTTAATAGTGCATTTTAATTTAACAATACTTAGAAAATATGTATCTCAGTAAAGGTGCTCAAAGAACTTAAAACAGGTTGCTAACTCCTGGCTACTATTACAACTCTTGCAATTATTTTCTTCCATGTTGACTTCAGAGGTCCATGCTAGTGCTCCTAGCCCCAGGAACAATCTAAATTATGACACTTTCAAAATCTTGCTGCAAAACTCTCCACTGTCCAGGACCGATCGCCAGAGTTAGACTGCCTGGTGGTTAAAGGGGACAAATGCACAAGGAAACAAATAAATATCCAGTTAAAATTCAACCTCACTGAATAAAGAATATGTGGTACACATACATTGTGGAATACTACCCAGCCATAAAAAATGAGATCATGTCATTTGCAGCAACATGGATGCAGCTGGAGGCCATCATCCTAAGCAAATTTACACAGGAACAGAAAATCAAATACCGCATGTTTTCCCTTTTAAGTGGGAGCTAAACATGAGGTACATGTGGGCATAAAGATAGGAATAAAAGGCACTGGGGTTACTGGATCAGGGAAGACAGGGCAGGGGACAAGGGCTGAAAAACTACCTATCGGGTACTATGCTCACTACCTGGATGATGGGATCATTTGTACCCCAAACCTCAGCATCACACAATATACCCACATAACAAGCCTGCACATGTGCCATCTCCACTGAATCTAAAATAAAAGTTGAAATTACAAAAATAAATAATAAAATCCAACCCTGTCCTCTCATAAAAAGGCAATGTGAACAGAAAACTTCATTTACATCCCATAAAGTGTAGTTCCTTTAGATTTTTTGAATTGATGTATAACATACATAAAGTACACAAATCATATGCACACAGCTCAATCAACTATCACATGGTAAACACATTCTTACCATCCATGAAAAGTTGACAAGCACCCAGAAATCCCTGTAATGTCCATCCCAATCTAATATCCCTTCCCTTTTCCCCAAAAGTAAACTACTACTTAACTTTTAAGTACTATAGTTTTTAATTTTTCTGAAATGTATATAAATGGGGTCATACAATACGTATGCTTTTTCATTTAACTTATTTTACTCAATATTATATATGTGATATTCATCCATATTAGCTGAATTTGTTCATTTTCTTTTCTGCATATTTCATTGTATGAATATGCCATATTTATTTATTCATTCTACTCTTGATGGACATTTGCATTGTTTCTGGCTTTTGGCTATTACTAATAATGCTGTGAAGAACCTTTTTAAATGTCTTTTGGTGCCAATGTCCGTGCATTTTTGTTGAGTAATTAGGAGTGAAATTTCTGGGTCATAAAATTTGCATATGTTCAGCTTTAGTACTCATTACCAACCAGTCTTCCAAAGTGGCTGTACCAATTTATATTCCTACCAGCGATATTCCTACCTCCTTATCAACACTTAGTATTGTCAGTCTCTTTAATTTTAGCTATTGCACAGTTTTTTATGGTTATATCACTATGGTCTTACTCTGTAATTTTTGTGATAGCTTTCCCTATTTACTGGCCATCTGGATATCCTCTTTTATGTTGGGTCTGCTCAAGTCTCTCTGTTTTTCAAATGGATGTTCTGTCTCTTCCTATGGACTTGTAAAAATTCCTTATTTATTTTGAACACCAGTTCTTTGTTCAATTATATGTGTTTTGAGTACCATCTTCCTCTCTGCAGCTTTTCACTTTCTTAATCATCTTCCATTGTTTCTTAACTTTATTGCAGCCCAGTTTTTATCTTTTTTTGTCAGTCCTTTTTGTGGCCAGAAACCTCTCTTTACCATCAAAGTCATAAAGATTTTCTCCTGTTTCTAGAAGGTTTGCTATTTTGCCCACGACATTTACATCTACTTCTAACTGATTTTTATAGGCAGGGTGATTCGGCAATAAAGTTTCATTTTCCTCTCCATATGAATATTCCATTGACCCAGTATCATTTATTGAAGAAAGTCCTGTTCTCACTGCTCTGCAGCGCCACCTTTGTGACAAATCAGACATCCATATATGTGTCTGTTTCTCAAGTTCCTGGCTTATTTCCATGGTCCTTCTAACTCTGCAGCAAGACTGTACTATTTTAAAGACTGTAGTTTCAAAAGTTTAGTATCTGGTAGAGGACATCTATTCACTTTGTTCTTAAGACTATCCTGGTTCTTCTGAGCCTCTTACTTTCCCACATTTATTTCTGGAATTGGTTTCTCATTAAAAAAAAAAAAAAAAAAAAAAAACACTTTTCTGAAGTTTTGATTGAATTACATTGGATAAATATAACAATCTAGGCAGAATTGACAGGTTTATGATATTGATTCTTCCAAAGCATGAACATGAAAATTTCTTTGAATTTTCATAGAAAAAATAATAATAGTTTTATTTCTTCTTATCCAATCTTTATTATTTTTATTTTTCTTTCCATATTTCCTTGACTAGGATCTCTGACAAAATATTAAAGACAGTTGTAATTCAAGTATCAAATCTATTTCCACTTAATATATTATTGATAGAGTTGTATTTGACTTTTTCAATCTGTTATTATTCTTGCCTATACAATTATCCCTTAAATATCTTACATTTTCTTAGGTTTATTCCCTAGAATTTGATGTTCTTTGATGCTATTGTAAATAACTGAATCTCATTTTCTGCATGGTATCCCTATATAAAAATACACTTCCTTTTTACATTGGTCTAACAACCTTTTTAAACTCACTTATTGATTCTGATGGTTTACCTAGCTATCTTTTGAGTTTTCATCTCCACAATCATGTTGTATATAAATAATAATAGTTTTATTTCTTCTTATCCAATCTTTATTATTTTTATTTATTTTTCTTTCCATATTTCCTTGACTAGGATCTCTGACAAAATATTGAATACAGTTGTAATTCAAGTATCAAATCTATTTCCACTTAATATATTATTGATAGAGTTGTATTTGACTTTTTCAATCTGTTATTATTCTTGCCTATACAATTATCCCTTTTCCTCTCCTTTCTTGTATTCTTGTAGACAGGGTTTCATTATTTCAATTTTTCCCTTACTGTTAACTCTATAGTTGGTTATAGATTTTTTGTAGTCTATTTTGGTAAGAGATTACAATGAGCAACTCTTAAGTGTCAATGTCTAAAATGACTTGTTACTTTTATTCTCTTTATAAACAATGCAAAGTTCTCAGAAATTAACATCACTTACTCCCCTCCCAATTTATATGCCATTGTTGTTCATCCCACAAGACAGTATTCACTTAGATTGCCTACATATTTACCTTTCCACTGTTCTTCATTACTTCCTGTATCTGTGAGCTTCCATCGGGAATCATTTTCCTTCTGCCTGAAGAACTCCTTTTTAGTTTTTCCTTTAGTGAGAGTCTGCTGGTGACAAATTCCCTTAATTTTTATTTCCTGAAAATAGTTTTATTTCACCTTCCTTATTAAAAGATATACGTATTGAGTAGAGAATTCTAGGTGGCAGTTGTTTTGTTTCTTTTCGCTTCCATGTTTCTGTTAAAATACTTCACTAGATATGGGCCCCATATTACTTGACTGCTTTTATAGTTCTCCACAGCCTTGAAATCCAAGGCTGCAAACATCGTCAACAAATTATTAAGAGCAAACCAAGTCCAGCAACATATAAAAAGGATTCTACACCATGAACAAATGGGATTTATCCCCAAATGCAAGATTAGTTTAACATCTGAAAACCAATCAATCTAATTGCTATAGGTTGAACTGCATCCCTCCAAAAATTCACATGTTGAGGTTCTAACCCCTCATGTGACTGTATTTGGAGACAGGGCTTTTAGGAGGTAATTTAGCTTAAATGAAGTCATAAGGGCAGGGACCAAATTTAATAAGATTGTTGGCCTTATAAAATAGGAAGAGAAATCACCCTCTCTCTCTGCTACAGGAGGACACAGTGAGAAGGCCTGTCAGGTATCTGTCCGTAGCCTGTTAGGAACTGGGCCGCACAGCAGGAGGTGAGCCGCAGGCAAGGGAGTGTTACCACCTGAGCTCCACCTCCTGTCAGATCAGCAGCGGCACTAGATTCTCATAGGAGTGCAAACTCTATTGTGAACTGTGCATGCAAGGGATCTAAGTTGCACACTCCCTGTGAGAATCTAATGTTTGATGATTCAAATCCCAAAACACCCCTCCACCCCATCTGTGGCAAAATTGTCTTCCACAAAACCAGTCTCCGATGCCAAAAAAGGTTGAGGATTGCTAATTTAAGTTACCTAGTCTATGGTATTTTATTATGGCAGCCTGGGCTGATGAATACAGTAATATATCAATAGAGTAAAGAAAAAAAAATACTTATCTAATAGATGAAGAAAAGCATTGGACAAAAGCCTATACCCTTTCATGATTAAACACTTAGCAAATTAGGAATAGAAAGCTAAAACCCACAACTAACATCAAACTTATTGGTAAAAGACTGAACATTTTCTCCCAAGATCCAGAACAAAACAAGGATGTCCATCCTCACTACTTTAACACTGATCATGCTAGAAGTTCTTGCAAGAGCAAGAAAAAGAAATAATGGCATCCAGATTGGGGAAAAAAGTAGTAAAACTATTTGGAGACAAGATAATCTAGTACACAGAAAATCCTAAGGAATCTACAAAAAATTATTAGCACTAATAAACAAGGTGAGCAAGGTTGTATGATACAAGATCAATATTTAAAAATGTATCGAAGCTCTCCATTCACTCGCAATGAACAATCCAAAATGAACTTAAGAAAACAATTACAATAGCAACAAAAATAACAAAATGCTTGGGAATAAATTTAACATAAGAAGTGTAAAACTTGTACATTGAATATCACAAAACACTGTTGAAAGATTTTAAAAAAGCTCTACATAAATGTAAATACCCCTATTCATGGATTAGAAGATTTAATACTAAGATGGATATTCCCCATGAATCTAACTACAGATTCAATACAATCCCTATCAGAATTCCAGCTGTTTTTCTGCAGAAACTGACAGGGTGATCTTTAAATTCATATGGAAATACAAGGAACCAAGAATAGCCAAAACAATCTTGAAAAAGAGGAACCAAGTTGGAGGGCTCAAATGTCCTGATTTCAAATTTTACTACATAGCTACAATAATCAAGACTATGTGGCACTGGCACCAGGGCAGATACATAGATAAATAAAATGGAATTGAGGCCAGGCGCAGTGGCTCACGCCTGTAATCCCAGCACTTTGGGAGGCCAAGGCGGGTGGATCACGAGGTCAAAAGATCGAGACCATCCTGGCCAACATGATGAAACCCTGTCTCTACTTAAATACAAAAATTAGCTGGGCATGGTGGTGCACGCCTGTAGTCCCAACTACTCAGAAGGCTGAGGCAGGAGAATTGCTTGAACCCAGGAGGCAGAGGTTGCAGTGAGCCAAGATCCTGCCACTGCACTCCAGCCTGGCGCCTGGTGACACAGCGAGACTCTGTCTCAAAATAAAATAAAATGGAATTGAAAGCATAGAAGCAAACCTTATATTTATGGTCAACTGATTTTCAACAAGGATGTCAACTGAATGGGGAAAGGATAGTCTTCAACCAATGGTGCTGGGACTATTGGATATCACAAACAAAAAAATAAACTTGGGAAAAGATGGCCAGCACAATGAACGGACAACTATATTTTAATGAAAACAACTGAAGAAGGGCAACGGAGTGTATCAAAGGAGAAACAGAAACTAGGGTGAGCACAGAACTCAGAATGGCAACACAGAGAACAAAAGGGAATGCCAGGCCCCCACCACCGCATTCCCAACCGGGATCAGCTGGGAACCAGGAAGAACTTCTTCCTACAGCAAGGAGGCAAGCAAGAGAATCCCAACAGCCAGCCCCCATTAATATGTGGATACCTACAGACCCCACCCCTGTAGCCCATACCGTGCTCCCTAGGATCAAACCTCCAGAGCAACTATTTTTCCCTGAAGTCAGGCCAGTGCTGTGCCTGCCTTTCAGGGGTAGAATCTCAGTCCAGCTGACTCCCTGGACCCCAGCTTCTAGTACATGCCTGAAAGTTACAGGTCCTGGCTCTGTGGGCAACTTACATCTAACCGTACCTAAGAGCAAATCTGTACCCCAAGATCCAGGTGCAACAGTAGGTTCATAAGCCTATGAGCCTAGGACCCTGGTCCCACAGCTACTCCAAGCACCTGCACCTGGAACACAGTGCTACAAAAGCTGCTTTTAGGCCATGTCAGACCTAACACCAAGAGGGATTTACTCAGCTAAGTCTCCTCATTGTAATGAAAACAAGAACAGGTGGATCCCCAGAAGCCCTTGACATCTAGGACATTCACAAAATATGCTGTTGCCATCGCCACAATCTTCTACAGTGTAGGCTACTGTAGAAGCCTACACCATTGCTGATGGTGAACACAGCTAAAGAAAATGAATGAAGACTATATAGCAACAGAGTTGCTATCTAGCAACAGAGTAACCACACTCTCCCAACTAGCACACTAAACCCCAACTGCAAGTGAAAGTTATTCAATATAAAAGCCACTCCAGAGAGTATGGAAGAAGTGACTGTTCCACCAGATCCATAGACATCAATGCAGGGACATAAGAAACATTAAAAAAGAAAGTAAAGAAATATAAGACCACCAAAGGAACAAAACGTTCTCATTAAAAACCCCAATAAACACCCCAGAACTGAAAGTATAAAATAACAAAACCCAATGAAAAGAAAGCAACTAATTTCTGAAAAAAAATCAGAATGATCTTAAGGAAACTCAATGAGAGACAAGAAAATACACATAGACAATTCAACAAAATCAGAAAAACCATTCTCAATATAAACAAGAATTCAACAGAGATAAAAATCATGAAAAGAATGAAAAAGAAATCCTACAGCTGAAGAATTAAATGAACAAAATAAAAAAATACAATAGAGAGATTCAACAGCAGATTTGATAAAGTAGAAGAAAGAAATATTTCTATATCAGTCATTTGAAATTACCCAGTCACAGGCAAGAAGAGAGAAATAATGAAAAAGAGGTGAACAAAGCCTACAGGACTGAAGGGACACCACTGAGTGAACAAATATTTGTATTATGGGAATCCAGAGGGAAAGACAAGAAGGCACAGAAAACCTATTTAATGAAATAATAGCCAAAAACTCCCCAAGTATATGGACATCCAGATACGGGAAGCTCAAAGAATCCCAAATATATTTAACCCAAAAAGTTCCTTCTTGAGGCACATTATAAACTCTCAAAGGTCAAAGACCAAAGATGGAACACAAAAAACAACAAAAGCATCCAGTCACATATAAGGGAATCATCATTAGACTAACAGCAGATTTCTATGCAGAAATTTTACAGGCCACCAAAGAATGGGATGATATATTGAAAGTGCTAAAACTACTCAAACAGCCAAACAATACTATACCCAGCAAAGCTATCCTTCAGACATGAGAGAAAAATCAAGTCTTTTCCAGAGAAACAAAAACTGAAGGAATTCATCACCACTAGACCAGCCTTACAAGAAATGTTCAAAGGAGTCCTACATCTGGTAAGCAAAAAAGATAATAGTCACTGTGGTGAAAACATGCAAAAATATAAAAACTCACTGGTAGAACAGATGTGCAAAGGAGAAAGAGAAAAGAATCAAAACCTACTTACTATAGAAAACCACCAAACTGCAATGATAAGAGAGAAAAAAAGAACAAAGCACATACAAAACAACTGGAAAGCAATTAACAAAATAACAGAACCAATTCCTTGCCTATCAATAATCATCTTGAGTTTAAATGAATTAAATCCCCCACTTAAAAGATTCAGTTGGGCTGAATCAAGTTTTAAAATTATAACCTAACAATACACTGCCTACAAGAAACTAACTTCACCTGTAAAGACACATATTTTTATGTGGGGGGGGGCGCGGCAGAGGGAACGGCTGTAGTCCCTGCTACTAAGAAGGCTGAGGCAGGAGGATCTCCTGAGCACAGAATTCAAGGCCAGCATGAACAACATGGTGAGACTCCTGCCTATTTTTTTTTAAGACACATATAGACTGAAAGCCAAGGGATGGAAAAAGACAGTCCATACACCAGAAACCAAAAGCAAGCAGGAGTAGCTCTATTTATAATAGATAAAACAGACTTTAAGTCAAAAACTGTGAAAAGAGACCAAAGATCATCATATAATGATAAAGGGATCAACTTAGCAAGAAGATAAAACAACTATAAATATATATGTATTCAACACCAGAGCACCTAGATATAAATAAAGCAAATACTATTAGACTGGTTGAGGATTTGATTATCACTCTCAGAATTGGACAGATCTTCTAGATAGAAAGTCAACAAAGAAATACTGGATTTAAACTGTATTTTAGATCAAATGAGCCTACCAGATATTTACAGATTTCATCCATCAGCTACAGAATACACTTGTTTCATCAGTACATGTAACATTCTCCAGGATAGGCCACATATCAGGCCACAAAGAGGTCTCAACAAATTTAAAAGAAGTGAAACTATATCAAGTATCTTTTCTGACTACAATGGCATAAAACAAAAAATCAATAATAAGAGGAAATTCTGAAAATATACAGATATGAAACAAAGGCACTAGTACCATAAATTGGGAAAGGGACAGCTTCTTCAATAAATGAAGCCAAGAAAACTGGATATCTATATGCAGAAAAGTGGAACTAGGCCCCTATCTCTCACCACATACAAAAATCAACTCAAAATGTATTAAAAACATATATGTAAGCCCCAAACTATGAAACTACCAGAAGAAAACACAGGGGAAATGCTTTGGGACAGTGGTCTAGGCAAAGATCCTGTGGAAAAGACCTCAAAAGCACAGGGAACAAAGCAAAAATAGACAAACTGGATAATATCAAACTCATAAGCTTCTACACAGCAAAGGACAATTAACAGAGTGAACAGACAACCTAAAGAATGGGAGAAAATATTTGCAAACCATTCATCCAAATAATGATTAATATCTGGAATATGGGATACTCAAACAACTCAATGACAACAAAAGGAAAAATCCAATTTAAAAATGGGCAAATGAGCTGAAAAGATATCTTTCAAAAAGTCATATAAATGGCCCACAGGTATATTAAAAAACGCTCAACATCCCTAATCATTAAGCAAGTGTAAATCAAACCTCAGTGAGATATCATCTCACTTCAATTAGAATAGCTATTATCAAAAAGACAAAAAATGACATGCTGGCAAGGATGCAGAGAAGGGAATTCTTACACATCATTGGTGGGAATACAAATTATTATAGTCATTATGGAAAAAGAGTTCTCAAATAACTAAAAATGTAACTACCATGTGATCCAGCAATGCCACTAACTAGGTATTTATCCAAAGGAAAAGAAACCAATAAAGAGATATCTGCACCCTCATGTTTATTATTACAGCACTGTTATAATAGCTAATATATGGAATCAATCTAAGTGTCCATCAACAAAGAAAAAAGGGGCAGGTGTGGTGGCTCATGCCTGTAATCCCAACACCCTGGGAGGTCAAGGTGGCAAATCACCTGAGGTCAGGAGTTCAAGACCAGCCTGGTCAACATGGTGAAACTCCATCTCTAATAAAAATACAAAAATTAGCCAAGTATGTTGGTGCACTCCTGTAATCCTAGCTACTCGGGAAGCTAAGGCAGGTTAATCACTTGAACGCACGAGGTAAAGGTTGCACTGAGCCAAGATCATGCCACTGCACTCCAGCCTGGGCAACAGAGCAAGATTCTATCTCACACACACACACAAAAGGAAGTGTGGTAAATATACACAGTGGAATACTATTCAGCCATAAAAAAAGAAAATCCTTTCATCGAAGTTGTGCTCATAAAAGTAGAGAATAGAATAGTAATTACTAGAAGCTGGGAAGAAGTCAGGGGAGAGAAATTGGGAAAGGATAATTAATGAATGCAAAATTACAGCTAGATAGGAGGAATACGTTCTAGTGTCCTAGATAGCACTGTAGGATGACTATAGTTGACAACAATTGATTATAAATTTCCAAACAGTTAGAAGAGAGGATTCTAAATGTTTCCAACCCAAAGAAATGATAAATGTTTGAGGTGATGAGTATGCAAATCACTAATTTGGTTATTGTGCAAATTATCAATTTGGTTATTATGCATTATATACATGTATCAAAATATCACACTGTACTGTTTAATTACAGCAAAAAATAAAGTAAACAAATCAATATAAATACATATATATATACAAATCCAATATGAGTAACATAGGGAGAGCTCTGATAAGCATAAATCTTAACAGGATTTCTAGGAAATAGTTAATTTTACAGACTCAAAAAAATAAAAGTATACCCCTTTCTCAGACCCTATACAAAACTGAACTCAAAACAGATAAAAGGCCTAAATGTATGAGTAACTATAAAACTCTTAGAAGAAAACATAAGCATAAATCTTTGACCCTGAGATTAGGCAGCCCTTTTGACACCAAAAACCATAAGCAAAACATAGCAAAATTTAAAACTTTTGTACATCAAAACATACCATCAAGAAAGTAAAAAGAAGGCCAGGTGTGGTGGCTCACACCTATAATTCCAAAACTTTCAGAGGCCAAAGCAGGAGAATTGCTTGGGTCCAAGAGTTTGAGACCAACCTGGGAAACATCGTGAAAAATAAATAAAATATTAGCTGGGTATGGTGGTGCATGCCAGTAGTCCCAGCTACTTGGAAGGCTGAGGCAGAAGAACTGCTTGAGCCCAAAAGGCCAAGGCTACAGTGTGCCATAATTGCACCACTGCCCTCCAGCCTGAGCAACAATGCAAGACCTTGTCTCAAAAAAAAAAAAAAAGAGTAAGTAATAAGACAATCCACAAAATAGAGAAAGTATTTGTAAATCATATGTCTGATAAAGGTCAAGTATCCAAAATATATAAAGACTTCTACAGCTGAACAGTAAAAAGACAACACAATTGAAAATAGGAAAAGACATACAAATGGCCAGCGAACACATGAAAAGACATTATATGTCATTAACAAAACCAAAATGAGATACTATTTCACACCCACTAAAATGGCTATAACAATAACAAAAAAAAGAAAAAAAAACAGACAATAACAAGTGCTGACAAGAATGTGGAGAAACTGGAACTCTATACATTGCTGGTGGCAAGGTACAGCCACTTTAACAAATGATGAGGCAGGCACCCTCTCAAAAAAGTTAAACACAGTTACCACATGGCCCAAAAATGCCACTCTACATGTAAACCTAAGAAAAGTGAAAGCATATGTCCACGCAAAAAACTTGTAGACTTCTGTTCATAGCAGCACTATTCATAACAGTCAAAAAGTGAAAACAATCCAAATATCCATAAATTGCTCAATGAAGAAACAAAATGTGATATATCCATATAATGGAACATTGTCAGCCATAAAAAGGAATGAGGTAGTAACGCATGTTACAGCATGGATGAACAGTGACAACATTACACTAAATTAAAGAAGCCTGACACAAAAGGCCACACAATGTTTGATTCTATTTACACATAATATTCAGAATAAGCAAATCTATACAGATAGGAATAGATTAGTGGTTGCCAGGTGCTGGTGACAGAAGGGAGGAGTGAGTTACTGCTCAATGGGTGCAGTTTCCTTTTAGGGTAATGAAAATGTTCTGGAATTAGACAGTGGTTGTACCACTTTGTGAACATCCTGAAACATCACTGAATTACACACTTTAAAGGGTCAAGTTTATGGTGTATGAGTTATATCACAATAACAAAATTTTTAAATCTCTATACCAACTATGTTTTCCTCAGCAGCCAGAACGAACCTTTTAAAACACAAAGTAGATTATTTCACCCCTATGCTCAGAACTTTGAAATGCTCTCCCATCTCACTTGAAATAAAATTCAAGGTCCTTACCTAAGCCTGCAATGTCTTAAAGAATCGACTTTTCTGATTTGGGTAATAGATACACTAGAAGCCTAATCCCGACCAGTTTGCAATATACCCATGTAGCCAACAAGCCTATATACACCCTGCATCTAAAATATAGAATTCTTTGCCTATTACTTATCACCTACCTTCCAACATCCATGCAGCCACCAGCCTCCTGGCTGTTTGTTAGTGTGCCAACCACGCAGCAGCCTCAGGGTCTGTGTCTCTTCCTTCTACCTAGAAACTCTTTCCCCAGATAAATGCAAACCTGAAACCTGAACTCCAAATCTCTACTCATGTCACTTCCTTAAAAAGGCCTTACCTGGCTACCCTACCTCTTCCCTATTTTGTTTTCCTCAGAACATTTATAATAATCTCACTTATTATGTACTAAATTTACATATTATTTATCTTCTGTCTTATTACACTAGAGTATAAGCTTCCTGAGAAAAAAGGCTTGTTTTTGTTCATGGTCATATCCCTAGAACTTTACACAGTATCTGCCAACTAACTGATTCCCAACACAATCTGTTCAATAAATAAATAAACAAATTTAATAAAATGTCAGAGAAAGTCACAACTAGGTCCTTTGAGATATTATCATATTAATAGAAACCTCTCACCTGTTCCAGGTTATTATATGGCACACGGCAATAACTGCAATATCCTTGTCTTTTCTGCATCTTGAATAAATAACTGAAGTCAGACGGCTACAGTCTTTCAATACTCAAACTGAAAAAAAGAAAAATGTCCAAAATCATAATAATTCCTTACTCTTATGAGGAAAATGGCTATCATAATTAGCAGAAAACAGAAATTCACTCTTGGGTCCTATCTGCTCCTACTTCTAAGAATTAGGAAAATATATGAGGTTGCCATGAGCCATTGAATAAATAAGTGAGCCTGAAGCAGAAACAAGAACTATACAGCTTATGAAAGAACAGATTGTTGCCAATATTTGAAGACTAAATGACTAAATATTTAGTTTTTTAGATTAGTTTTTCTAATCACTTATTAGAGATATTAGATATTGATTCAGTAACAAAGATTACAATATTCAATTTGCGAAGATCAATTACTTCTAAGTTATTGTTATGGTATATTTACTATACTCTAATGGAGCTCATTAATTTTCCCATCATGTTTCCATATAAAATCCCAGATTATGTGACGACGTCTCATTCTCTGTCATCATGAGAGTAAAGGCACCACATGGCATTTTCTGCTCAGCTCACAGAGGCAGATTTTTTAATAATCTATCCAACACAGTAGCTAAAGATCGGAACAACTAATTTAGCCTCTGAAACACAAAACATTTTTCTTCTGCCAATTATATATGCCAGATAAATATGAAGGATTTTTTTTCCTACTAGTGTTTGAGATTTCTCTACAAATAAATCGTTTTCCAGTTTCCGCTCACCTAAAAGCATAATCCTTCAACATTACAGACTGCATAGTTCCCAAACCAGGCTGAATACCCACAATTTTAGTAGAGCTGAGGTGAGCCTAGGATTCAGAATTTTCAAAATTCCCCTGGTAATTTTCATGTTCAGCCAATGTATGAATTGACACAATGTACATATAATTTATGATGATTTTAAGTAAAAAATTTAATGCAGTTTATTTGCTGCTTTGTTAAGCTGAAAATAGAATTGCAAATAATTTTGTATTTCAAATAGTTAAAGCATTCTCAGCTGCTGGAAGATATATAACAATCATTCTATAATGTATTATGAATATTTCTGCAATGGGAAAAATTTAATCATTAAAATCAATAACTGAAACATGAAATCACAGCCTTAAAACCAATAAGATGATGGAAAAAAAGGCTTCATTAAGTCAAAATGCTAGCATAACATTTACTTACCTATTACTTTTTATTATGAGAAATACTGATTTTCCGACTTCTCACATTTATGGAGAAAATTAATCAATTAAACCAGCCTCTGACACAAAAAATATATAAGACATTACTTACTTAAAATTTAGTCTTTTTTCCACTAATTCACTTATTAACCTACAGCAATAAAACAGAACAAAGTTTTTTAAGTTGTACTTACACATAAGGCAAATTTCAAGCTAAGAGAACCTAGAGCTTAAATGTAAACTTTTAAAAATCCTAAAATAACAAACTTTGGGGGAATTTACTGAAAATATGATTAAAACATTCATTGACTAAAGTACAAAAGTAAAGCATTAGTCCAATATCACATACACACAAAATTTAAGTACTTAAATATTTTTAAATCTTTAATCCTATGGACCTTAACTCCTGTGGCATTATCACCTGTCACTCCCGTCATCTGTCATCTCTAGTGCCACACTGAGTTGCAATGAACCAGAAGCATGTGTTGGCATTTTTAAAAATTAACATGCGAGGACCTCATCAGAAACTTACCAAATCAAATCCCAGGGATTGAGGGAACCCAGGACACACATTATGAAGTAAATTTAAAATGCTCAAGGGGGCAGGGCACGGTGGCTCATGCCTGTAATCCCAGCACTTTGGGTGGCCGAGGGAAGTGGATCACCTGAGGTTAGGAGTTCGAGACCAGCCTGGCCAACATGGTGAAATCCTGTCTCTACTAAAAATACAAAAATTAGCTGGGTGTGGTAGCAGATGCCTATAGTTCCAGCTACTCGGGAGGCTGACACAAGAGAATCATTTGAACCCAGGAGATGGGGGTTACAGTGTGCCGAGATCAAACCAGTGCACCCCAGCCTGGGCAAAAGAGTTGGGGCGTTGTCTCAAAAAATAATAATAATAATATAGTAAAATATAATAAAATAAAATGCTCAAGGTGATTCTGCTATAAGTCAACTCAATAACATAAGTCATCATTTTGTATAAAGTAATAAACTTACCTATTAAAGAGATCACTTTTTTAGGGTCTGGAATTATATTACTTTGGATGCCTAAATAGGTCTTTTTATACAAACTCTGAATTCTACCAGAACCCAATATTTTTATAAAGTAACAAATTATTTACCTGGAGCAGAAAAGGTCAAGTATTTAATCAGCTGTATTAGTTCTGGCAAATATCTGTAAATTAAAATAAAATCATTTTTTAAAAGAGTTAGGTTCCATAAGTATCTACCACAGACCAAATAAGTATACCAGGATATATTTTGAAAAGGGACATGTTTCCAATAATATAAGAAAAAATATTAACTTTTGAACCCAAAGCACTTTACATACTACAACTCACTGAACCTCACACATGACCTCCTAAAGTTCTGATGCAGTAACTGTGATCGCCCATCTAACCCACCATCAAACACTGAAGGTCCCTGCGTTCCTGGAACAGTAGCTGTAAAAGAATAGAAGGCGCAATTGTGCTTCTGGTAAGTAAGGTTAAGAACAAAAATGCTGTCAAACCGAAACAAAATTAGCTTCATGAGAAACTTCCAGAGGCTCAGGTATCACATTAGTTTTAATGAAAAATACTGTCAATTCTTTTATCACCTATCTCTATCAATACACTATTAAGCAGAAGCATGTTTTTTATTCCTCCGTATTGTTGTGGGCAAAATACTGCTCCTTATCCAGGATCACTGGTTAAGAAAAATTTCCAACACTTGGGCTCAAAAGAGCCAGTGACACCACAGTATAATCAAAGAATAACTAGTAAGCACCCACCCTGCGCAGAGTTCCATGCTAGAAACTTTAAGAGACAAAGATGAGACAAGTTTTCCTGCCCTCAAAAAATTTAAAATGAAATTGGGAAATTAGAGCCAAAGAATGAGGTGCTGCCTAAGAAATGCCTCAGTAAAAATGAGAACTGCTAATGAGTTCAACTGCAAAACTCAGTTTTAGCTAGAGTGGCCAGGGATGCCACTGTGGGTATGGTTTTTTAACCAGATACTGAAAAATGGGTAGGAATTACTCACTCAAAGGCTGGGAAATGATAGTCCAATTAACAAACAAGCCAGGGTACAAAAGCAAGAAAATTAACAAACTCAGCAAATCTAAGGTTGCACTTGAGAATTTTTTTCAATATTTTATTTTTTATTAACAAATACTTTTACGTATTCATGGGGCAATAAACTACAGAAAGTGGATTGGATTTTGACCTGTTAGTATTCAAAAGCAAACTGAAGAATTTAGACTGTGCCTTTAGGCACGGTGGAAGTTTTTTTGTAAAGAGGTATACTCTAGAGTGGTTTAAGAAAATTCTGAAACAATGATACTCTTCTACTCAAAGAAGCTTTTCAAAGGGTAAGGAAAGTAACTATTAACTACTCTGCACCATTTCCGAAATGCCGGAGAATTAGTTAATGCCGGAAATCTCCAAGCTAAGAGTCAGCATCCCTTAAAGCACAGTCATGTATGTTTACAAAATACGAAAACACACATTTTTCTTTAAAAAATGATTTTATTTTTACTACAAAAGTAAAACATTTATAATGTACAATTATAAAGAGCATAAAAATCAGCTATAATACTACCACCCACCATTAACCTGTGTTATAGTCTTCTTTATTCTAAACATATTTTTACAAAAATGGGATGGTATAGAACATTCTATTCTATAGCCACCATCTCTCACTGAACCACATATAATGAGCACCTTTATATGCCATTATAAAATGCTATTATAAAATAGAAGAAAATAAATTAAACTAAAATAGAATGATTTTAATACTAATGATTGCATAGTATTTCATCATGTCAGTGTAAGATAATAGCCCTGACAAGAACCAGTAGTTGGTGAGTTAACCTGAAAGTCAACCAGCAAGATAATTTAAATACACACATAATCTTAATATTTAACTTAAAACATATAAATGTATATATGTTTAAGGTCAAGTCGGGCTTTTTTGTTTCATTGGTATTTTTAGTATGGGTGTTGCTGCTTTTATTGGGGGACAGGTTAGCTAAAGTCTCAAGACACGTCTTTTAATAAACTATATTGTAATTCACCCCTGAGTTTCCATTTTTGTTCCTCTAAAGGAGAACAAAAATCTGAAGGCAGTTTCAAATCTGAGAGCAGAATTATGATCAATGTTAAACATTTTTCCCCAATCTTTCACAGTTGTCATACCCACTTAAGTATGTTTGCAAATATAGCCTTTTTATGAATCTGAAGCATAATATTTATTTTTCCTAAAAATAATAATGCTATTTTTAAAATGACTATGTTCACCTTCTTATTTCATTCGTTTAGGTGACATTTAAAATTGCACAAACCTATCCCGGGGAGTGAACAGAGATTTCTGAGCTACCCAGATGACTTTAGCAGAAATGAGGAATGCGACTGAAATGTCATAGCAGAAATGTCTCAAAATAAAAAGAAAACAGCATTTTGTTGTTGTTGTTGTTGTTGTTTAAGAAATATTTCTTGCACACCTGAGATCTGCACCAGCTGCAGAGGTAAACATCGGTAAAAAAAATTTTCTGAAATGACTTTGGGGTTGTCGTGTATTTCTCAAACTGAGTGTGGCACTGTAGTAACAACTAACAAAACCCACAATCCTCATAAAACAGATTTTTCAAGTACCTGACAAAAGACACATCAACTTAATTTAAAAAAACATATGGAAAGACAATAGAAAGGCATTTGGTTTTCTGAATAAGACAGTCTAAATTTTCCAGCAATAGGGAAACAACTGAGAAACAATGACAAAACAATGGCCGAATGACAAAAAAGACCACACCAATTCAATATCAGTTCCTCCACACAACACTACTGATTTTCAATTTTCCACTTTTTTCAATTATCCACGCTATGCTGGCTTTCCTCTGGTGACAAGCATTATCCTAGACATCTCTATTCAGTCTTAGTAAAATAATAATAGCTAATACTTAGTACTTAATCTGAGCCAGGATCTCTGTCAACAGATTCCTGTGCATTATCTCATCTAAAAACCAAAACAGCTTTATAACGTAGCTGCCATGATTAATTCCCATTTAGCAAATCAGGGAACTAAGGTTAAGATAAAAGAGATACCCCTGAGCAGGTCTCACACCAATAACCAGCATTAACTGAGTTGTGACCACTGGTCAATTTGAGCAATTTATGCTATAATCTCTTAACGACTTCGACACCACTTCTCTGTATTTTCAGGAATACTGCTTGTTTGAATGTTAGGTGAAAACAAATCATTAGGACTCTTATTTGCTGCATTCAACATCACTATTCCAAATTTTAAAACCTAATGTTTAATTGCATCATTGCTCATCTGAGTGCTGACAATACCTTGCGTTAGTGACTTCCAAGATTATTTAACACGACACACAGTAACCAATACACTCTGAATTACAACCGAGCACACACGCACAGGTACACACGCACAGTCAAAACATTTTTCACAAAACAACACTCTCTTTACATGTAAAGCATTCTGATATTTTCTATGCGATCTTATTTAATTTTTTAGATTTTTAATGCTAGTCATGACCCACTAAATTAATTTCACAATTTACGCACAGGCTGAAAAAAATGCAGTTTGAAGACACACTGCCTGCAATTATGATGACATATTTTCTAAACAATATTTTCTAGAAACCAGTTGTTACTGGTTTCTGAATTCAGCTTATTTCTTTCTATCCAAATCACTGGCCACTGCAGTGATACTTGTTTCAACTCTCTAACGAGTTGCTTTCTTGCCTTCTACGCTTTGGGTTCAAACGATATAGAAAAGATCTTCCATGCATTAAGTGAAAAAAGCAGACAAATAAACGACCCTTATGTGACACACGCATGTATGTTTGTGTATTAATTAAAGAGAAGGGAAAGATATCCCCAAAATTGTGAGCAGATTCTCTCGAGGATGAAATCGCCACAGGCTGTCTCCGCCGTCCCTCCCCCTCCCCACACACAGCAAATTGCTGTAAAAAAGAAAAACAAAAACAAGCTATTTCCTTTAGATTGGGGGGGTGGCGTTTTGGTCCCCTGAGAACCAGTATCTTGTTATGCATCTCTTCCACGAGCTACCCAGAATCAAAGCGTGGGATCATCGCAGGAGCTAGAAACGGCCTTCTTAGGAGCAAGTAAAAACGATGGCGTAACAAGACCAGATTTACACAACTGTTGCACGGCAGTAGTAAAACGATCATTGACACAAAAAAATCACACGTTTCCAAATAAACTAGCATCGCCAGCGGCTGGGAAAGGCCTAGGTCTGGGGCCAGCTGGACCCAACGCAGGGCACTGGGGGAAAGGGGTGTGTAGACAGGTGGCTCGGGATCTCGGCCCCACAGGTGCCCAGGCAAGACTCCGCGGGTTTCCGGCCCTCAATCCGACCCCGCAGGCTTCCTCCTCCCCAAGCCCGGGCCCGAGGCCTCGTCCGCCGGCCCCTCGGACCCAGGGCCCCGACCGAAGCGCAATGCAGCCCGCGCCCCACCTCCTCCCCTCGACCCACCACCTCGATCCCGGCCTGGAGCCGCCGAACCCTCTCACTCAGCAGGGGCAGAAAGGGACGCGGGATGAGGGGAAGCCGAGGACCTGCGAAGCGGCCGCGGGAGCCCGGCGAGCCGTTCTGGCGTCCCCCGGGAGAAAGAAGGCGCCCCGGGCGCCCGGCGAGCAGGCCCCGCCCGCGGGCGTCGCCCCGGCCGCGCCCCGCCCCCGCCGCGGCACTCACCTCCGCGGAGGCCGCCCGGATTCCTTCCGGGCCGCGGTAGAGACCGAGGACCGCGCCGGGCACTCTCCGTTCCGATTCCGGTTCCGTGGCGCCTCCCGAACCCCAGGCCGTCCGAGCGCCGCGGCCCCGCTGCCCGCAGAGCCAAAAATAGGCGCCTTCGGTCCCTGCGGCCGGGAGGGAGAAGCTGGGCGGGAGCGCGTCTCGCAGGACGCTCGCCCCGACTCGCGACTGGACTCACGCATGCATCCAAGGCAACGTGGCGTTGCAACCCTGATGGAGGTTTGACGTCAGGGAAGGTGCGAAAACCGGACCCCTTCTGACGCAGGAGCGGCGGGTCCGCCCCCTGCCCGCCCACCCCCTCGCTCTCCCACCCCGGCGGAGGAGCCCCTTCCTCCTCTCAGGAGCTCTTAAAGCGGACACTTCCTCCTTGGTCAGGGCCCCACTCCGAAGCTCGGGAAATCCATCACGATCCAAAGAAAAGGACTAGACTCATAGCACAGTTAGAGACCAAGGTTTTAGCGTTTGAGGGTCCAAATAAAAACTGCTTGCCAATTCAAAGCAACATACGAATGTAGAAAAAAAACGGGGCTAAGAGAGCTAGTCGTTTTTGCTGTTTCCACGCTTATTTCAGAGTGAGGTGCATCTCCCAAAAGCTGCTGTTCAATGAACGTTGCTCTGTGCTAGACACTGTTTAAGGTTGATATACATTCTTGCATATCATTTCAGAGTAACTCTGAATGAATCCTGAATTAGCCCCCCTTTGACTACTGAGAAAACAGGCTTAAGGAAGTTAGATATTCAAAGATCTACCCTGCACATGAAAGGGTTACAAATATTAACAAACAACATTGGCTCATGAAATTATATTCACTGCGCTGTCCACTACGAATATAGTCGTGAGGAAAAACAGTTTACGTGTAACGGAGGTCACTAACTTAAATGAATCACACTAGTGAGTATGAAATTATAATCTGCGATAAGAGCTTCTGAAATACCTAATTTTACTATCTAAAATGGAGAGGAGCCCTGCTGCGAAGCTTATATCTAATGTAAAAATAATCTTAAAATGAGCTACTTTGCTCTTTGGCTGTAACTGTAATTGTCATTGCCCTTTTTAATAAGCTTGTGATTTTATCCCTTTAAAAAAAACTTGCCCATTGCTTTTACATCCATTGTTTCCATTCTTTCCGTATTTCTCAGCTCTTTCTTCCCCTGCTACATCTTTCTCTCGCTTTCTCTCGCTTTAGGCTCTTGCAACCATTCGATTTATAACCTCCCTTAGATTTAACATACCAAAAAGTATAGATTTCTTTTAAGGCAAGTTTTTTTTCCCACATCCCAACCTTGGAATTAAAGAAAAACCACTATACATGTTCTGTATTTCACAGATGCTAAACCACGTTTTTTCCCACAGCTTAACATCTGTGAAATGAGGATGCATCTAACAAACTCATGTTGACCAGGTGGCAATACAGACCTGGCTGTCATTACCTCCACGTATTACAACGTGGATGTTGCTGTTCAGGTTGTTCTCATTTCACTGAGATAAGCGCATTGTTTAATAAAACCCACAACCCTAGGAGGAAGGGAATTAACAGGCAAAACTTACTCAAACTTGGAGAGAGATTTTCCTAGGGAATGAGAAGATTTTTCTGGAAAAGAAGATTTTCCTAGGACCAAAAAGATTTCTCCAGCCCTTGGAAAAGGAGATGGTACTGGCTAAGAACTAGTAGTCTTCCTGGAGCCATGAGTTATTCACCAAGCACATTCATTCTTGATGGATTTTGGGAACCCATATCTGAACAGTTAAATAATAAGCCTAATTGCACCCCAAAAAAATGAAATAACTTGGATATTATTCTTGATAGCCTGGTTAGTCAATTACAACTCCTATAGATTGTATTCAATAACACCATTGAAGAAGGAAAACAAGTCCTGAATGTTTTACATGAAAACTCGAAATTCGGCTGGACGCCATGACTCACGCCTGTAATCCCAGCACTTTGGGAGGCCAAGGTGGGCAGATCATAAGGTCAAGAGATCAAGACCATCCTGGCCATGGTGAAACCCCATCTCTACTAAAATACAAAAAATTAGCTGTGCCTGACGGCACGTGCCTGTAGTCCCAGCTACTCAGGAGGCTGAGGCAGGGGAATCACTTGAATCTGGGAAGTGGAGGTTGCAGTGAGCCGAGATGGTGCCACTGCACTCCAGCCTGGCGACAGAGCAAGACTCCATCTAAAAATAAAGAACAAATGAATGAACGAAAGAAAGAAAAAAAAGGAAAGAAAAGAGAAAGAAAACTCATAATTGATATATTCAGTTGAGATCAAGCAGGCGCCAGCATCAAAACTTGCAAAATAAGGTAAGCTGGCCTGGAAGAAAATCCTGCATACACAGGGACGTGGATGAAACTGGAAGCCACCATTGCAGCAAACTGACACAAGAGCAGAAAACCAAACACCACTTGTTCTCACTCATAAGTGGGTGAACAACGAGAACACATGGACACAGGGAGGGGAACATCACACACGGGCCTGGGGTGTGAAGGGCTGGGGGAGGAATAGCAGGGGGTGGGGGGATTGGGGAGGGATAGCATTGGAAGAAATACCTAATGTAGATGATGGAGCGAGGGATGCAGCAAAACACCACCATGGCATGTGTATACCTATGTAACAAACCTGCACAATCTGCACATGTACCCCAGAACTTGAAGTATAATAAATTTTTAAAAAGAAAAGAAAATCCTGCATACAATAGTGCAGCATGCTTTCTTTTTTCTTTTCTTTCTTCTTTTTTTTTTTTTTTTTTTTTTTTTTTTTTAGAAAAGAAAGGGTCTCCCTCTGTTACCCATGCTGGAGTGCAGTGGCTTAAAACACTGCTCCCTGCAGCCGCGGTCTCCCAAGCTCAAGCGATCCTCTTGCCTCAGTCCCCCAAGTGGCTGGGACCACAGGTTTGTGCTACTATGACTGGCTAATTTTATTTTTTGTAGAGACAAGGTTCTCACTTTGTTGCCCAGGCTGCTCTCAAACTCCTGGCATCAAGGGATCCTCCCACCTTCGCCTCCCAAAGTGCTGAGATTACAGATACAAGCCACTGCGTCTGGCTGGAACACTCGTAAGGTTAGATGCATCACATACACCTTTGGTGGAAAACCACAGCCATGGGCAACTGGTTCAAAAAGCGATTCATGGCGTGGTGGCTCATGGCTGGGTGCTCCCAGCACTTCGGGAGGCCAAGGCAGGCAGATCACAAGATCAGGCGATGGAGACCATCCTGGCTAACCTGGTGAAACACCGTCTCTTCTAAAAATACAAAAAATTATCCAAGTGTGGGGGCACTGGTAGTCCCAGCTACTCCAGAGGCAGGCAGGAGAATCACTTGAACCCGGGAGGCAGAGGTTGCAGTGAGCCGAGATGGCGCCACTGCTCTCCAGCCTGGGCGACACAGTGAGACTCCATCTTAAAAAAAAAAAAAAAAAAATCGATTCATATAAGTTGAGTTCTTGGCCGGCGCAGTGGCTCATGCCTGTAATCCCAGCACAGATCACCTGAGGTCAAGAGTTTGAGACTAGCCTGGCCAACATGGCAAAACTCCAACTCTACTTAAAAAAAAAAAAAATAGCCTGGTGTGGTGGCATGTGTCTCTAATCGCAGCTACTTGGGAGGCTAAGGCAGGAGAATCACTTGAACTCGGGAGGCAGAGGTTGCAGTGAGCTGAGATCGCGCCAAGGCACTTGAGCCTGGGTGACAAAGCAAGACTTCATCTCAAAAAAAAAAAATTAAAATTAAATGAAAGTTGAGTTCTGAATATGAATTAGTTTCTGAAATCCCTAAACCAATCTTACTTGTATTTCCCTTTTTATGCATGCACAAGATCGATGCATAAAAAGGATAAAAATGTATCAAAGTCTGAGAGTGCTCTTTTACTGAGTATGAAATAAAAATAGACCAGGTGCAGTGGCTCACACCTGTAGTCCCAGCACTTTGGGAGGCTGAGGTGGGAGTATCACTTGATCCCAAAAGTTCAAGATCAACTTGGGAAACATGCCTGTAGTCCCAGCTACTCAGGAGGCTGAAGCAGGAGAATCACCTGAGCTCAGGATGTAGAGGCTGCAGCAAGCCACAGTCACACCACTGCATTCCAGCTTGGATGACAATGTGAAACCCTGTCTCGAGAAAAACAAAAAAGGAAAGAAAAACACTAAATTACAAGAAATTATTGTGTTATAGTTTAGTTGGCAAAATTTTTCTTCCAACATGATACTATCATAACACATCAAAGGGAGTGCCATTCTGCATCAGATCAGCAATCCACACAAACAAAATTTCCCTCTAGTGGCAATGGGCACATTTTGTGGGAGAGCTTAGTTATCCATAAGGTTAAGCTCCACAAGTTGTAATTTCCTCCTCAATTCTGTATTAACCCATTACAGATCTAAACATATTACACATCTAAACACCTTTAGAGGAGCTTAGAGATCAGGATTGGGTTTGTATGTACCCCATTTCCTCCTCAAGCATATTTGGTCCAGGGAGAAAAAAGGTGCTATGTATGTGTTATTTCATCTTCTTCCTCTTTTAAGGGACACAAAACCAGCTCTTTTGTGTCTAGAAAGCACTCCAATAATGCTAACATTTTGTAAGCCATTAAGGCTAACATTATGCTAATGTCTTAAGGAAAGGCTATTGGGAAAAGCAAGATCTCATAGCTGAATCATAAAAGACTTTAGATTTCATCAGCTTAGAGTATGGGCCATTTCTTTTCCCAAATTCTATTACTGTGTACTTTGTTCTACCTATTCACCGTCGGGTGAGGTCATTATAACGCTTTTACCTCCTAAGCCTTCCACGTTAGCTCTTTAAAAAGTGAAACATTTTCTTTAAGCATAAAGAGATTCACGCATATGCCCCATCCAAATCATTATTTTAAAATTAATGTGGACCAGGCGCCGTGGCTCACGCCTGTAATCCCAGCACTTTGGGAGGCCGAGGCAGACAGATCATTTGAGCTCAGGAGTTTGAGATGAGCCTGACCAACGTGGTAAACCCCTGTCTCTTCTAAATATAAAGAATAAAAAATTAGCTGGTCGTGATGGCTTCCGCCTGCAGTCTCAGCTACTCGGGAGGCTAAGCCAGGAGCATCGCTTGAACCAGAGAGGTGGAGGTTACAGTGAGCTGAGATCGCGCCACTAACACTCCAGCCTGGGTGACAGAGTGAAGACTCCGTCTCAAAAATAAATAAATAAATAATTCAGAATAAAATTAATGTGAACTCCATTTGTCTTGTTGATTTCTCCTGCAAG